TAAATAAGAGAGGCTTCTAAAATTGTTCTTCTTGTACCTTTTAGGTCAATAAATTTTTCCAGGTTATGACTCGTCGAATAAGACTGCTTTATATTAAGGCTTCCCTTCCATTTCAAGATGCAATTATGTATACTACACGCTCGTTTGATATGTATTATAATTATCTCCGAAAGTCATGTCATTTCACGATGAAACTTTATAAGTGAATAATTGACTTGGGTTATTATTGGGGGTGGGGGGGGGGGAGTTAATTTGAAGATTCACTGTTTTTCTCATGATGGTAACCATAGCGATGACGACAACGAAGATACCTGAAGGAGTTTTCGATTTTTCGTCAAAGTTGCCCCTGTCGCCTTCTTCTGGAGCTGAGGACCTTGAGCTTCCAGCTACAGCATTAAAGTGTCTTTGAGCTTTTGGTGTCATCTGCGAATCACCTGCAGCCTCTGTGGAGTTTTGACGTGGATTATTTACGGGCTCCGGTCTCTAAAACCAACGGAGCAATTAAAAGTTGAAACATGGTTCTTAAACCGGAGAAATATGTTTATGAATACGGAGTTAAACAATTTCAATATTCAGAGGGATATAGGTGGAGCAAAGATAAACCGTTTCACATACAAATTACAGTTTGATACATTAATTAATTACTTTTAAACGAAAAGGAAAAATCAAAAGTTGAAGACTAGAAACCCGGCTGTACTTTTCAAGGCTGACTAAGGACTTCCACCTTCATGTTATTTGACGTGACGTTAATTTTTTTTAAATATCTTCACTAAGTTTAGTGACTGTTGTGTTAATGTGGCTTGAACTGGGAAAACTTATGAAGGAGTATAAATTAAAGGTGCTCTTGACTAAACACATGGGCTTATAACTGGAAGGGCGAATGTGAGCTAGAAATCACATTAATAAGCAAAGAAATTTCATCCGTAAGTACTGGTAAATGACCTTCAATCGCTTATGGCAAGGTTGATAAGAGGGAAGAAGGTAAGTGATGTGTGTGAATCTATGGAAGATGAAAGCAATTAACTTTGTCGTTTGTTTTTACGTTTTTCTTTCTTTTAACTTGAAAAACGGAAACCTATCTTTAAGTTGCTAACTTTGAAAAGTAGATCATATCAAGTACAAACAACATTACCTCCTCAGACTGAAACTCACGGATCACTTTCATGGTATGCTCTTCATCACGACCTTCTTGTTGAAACCTTAACTGACATTTGAAGTAATTGTCCACTCCACCTTCAATTTGTTTCACTAGGAACTCGCATGTTCCTTCACAACGAAACCTACGACCATTGGCGTTGAGGCAAATGAACTCCTACAACAAATCACAGATTGTTTGCACAAAACGGTATCAGTCGGGAGTAAAACGTTTCAATGAAAATCCCCAAAAAATTAGCGGTTCCTCGAATCGCAGAAAG